TTCGTTCGCTGAAGATGATTGAAAGTCAGTCGATGTTTAAATTGCTACTATCATTTTATTGCTTTAAGAAAATTGCCATCATTATATTCATAATTAATAATTTTTATAGTTGAACGATTTTCCTGAGCCTGCAAAACCGCACAGCACAACCGGAAAAAGAAACAGAGGCAATAGGGCAGGAGCTCATGTACAGCAAGAACGGTTTATGCGTTTCTTGTACAAACTATCTTCAGCTCACGATAATTGGGGAAAGAGAAAGATGGTAATTGTTGCATGTTAAATGAACATTGAATATTATAATAAGTATATTATAATAATTTTTGCGATAATTGGGGAAAGAGAGATGGTAATTATTGCATGTTCAAAAAAAATTGAATATTAGAATGAATATATTATAAATAATGAATATTAAATATTTATAAATATTTTTTCAGCTACCAAACGAAAAAACAGCCTCATCAACTCAAGATAATTGGTCTAAGGTAATTTTTATTATATTATAATAATTTTTATGATAAGTAATTGGGGAAAGAGATGGTAATTGTTGCATGTTCAAAAAAAATTGAATATTAGAATGAATATATTATAAATAATGAATATTAAACATTTATAAATATTTTTTCAGCTACCTATCGAAAAAACAGCCTCATCAGCTCAAGATAATTGGAAACATAAATCTAAGGTAATTTGTTATATACATTTAAAAAATATTAAACCTAAGTATACGAGAAACGCCACTAGATGAATTTATCTCAGAAATATGTCGTTACTATCACACTTTCAACACGATTCATCTGAAATTTGATCGTCTAGTGGCGCTTGTCGTATTTAGGTTATGTACTCACATGGCTGCTTTCCTTTTAAGCGACACAGTCGACACAAGTATCGTTCTACTTTGTCATTCACTGAATGCCAAGAAAGATAGAACGACGTTTGTGTCGAGTATGTCCTCTATCTAAAAGGAAAGCAGCCATAATAAATGGTCTTATTTCCAATCTTTTTATTGTTATATTTTATATACTACAATTTAATAATTACATTTTTTTACAGCCAAATCCTTCAAATCGTCAACAGGCTTTGAAATCGAAACTCGGTGATGCAGCTTCTTAGTTACATATTATTAATATTATTACTTACGTAAGGTGAAAATGATATATATGTATATCTGTTGGAGATTCAACTTCCCGCTCTTCAATCTATCGATAACCATCGATAACCAGCCATTTTATTTCTTTCGTTTTAGTATATCACTTCACCGTGTGGCGCTTGTGATCTCACTGCGTAAAGCTTACATATTTATGTTACCCTACTATCACCACTTGTTTGTAATGGTGGACTTTCCTTTTGTAACTTGCTAACGCCTTTTTAATAAATTTGTATCTCGTATAGAATCGTACTCGAGTACCTGTCCTGCCCTAGTCGCACTCTAACAATATCAAACCCGATTAGAGATGCCGTTTCAAATGTAGTTCAATGACTACGTTTGAAACGTAATCTCTAATCGGGTTTAATTTACAACATATAATGATTACGTTCGGGAACGTCGCTCGGATGCCTCCCGATGCCTCGGATTCATCATCTATTCTTGTTTAACATTAAATTAAATGTTAAACAAGGACAGATGATGAATCCGAGGCATCGGGAGGCATCCGAGCGACGTTTCCGAACGTAGCCAATATATATCTCATTCAATAATTCATAATATATATATTATTTCGTATAAACAAATTAATTCTGTTTCATGTTTCGTTCAGTACTTACGTAAGGTGAAAATGATGATATATATGTATATCAAACTCGATTAGAGATGCCGTTTCAAACGTAGTCCAATGACTACTCTCTATCTCTAATCGGTTTAATATACATATAATGGTTACGTTCGGGAACGTCGCTCGGTTCATCATCTGTTCTTGTTTAACATTAAATATCAAACAAGGACAGATGATGAATCCGAGGCATCGGAGTTCATAATATATGTTTCAATTCTGTTTCATGTTTCGTTAAAATTAAAAAATAAATTTGTAAGTTTATAATAAAATATATTATATATTTCTCTAGTCAAATATTTTTTCTTATATCCACTTGTAGAATATGCTTCCGCAGTTTGTCCGTTAAATCCCGAATTATACATTTACAACGATTGATAAGGTAGGCCAACATATGCCATGTCGTTAAGAAACAATGATACAATTATATTATTTTATTAATACCGTAATAAAATACATTTACAAATAATCGTATTTATATATATGGATTGAAATACAATTAAAGTGAATTTACCTTGTAAAAAAGAAATTTTGTAATCTACTAAAACCAATCAATGCAATATTTCAGTCGTAAAAAATGTTTATAGCAAAAATAGAAATAGTATTACTGTATTATTGGGAGTGTGAATAAGTTCTCGCCGTTTCGCCATCAGATGGTGGTATAAAAAGTTTGTGTG